AATGTTGAAAACAGCTGCTTCATCTTTTTGTAGATTTTTCAAGATTTTTTTGATAAATAGAAAGTTCAAAAAAACATTTATTTGAAATAGAAATCATTTGTAACGTTCTGAATGCCTCTAGTGACACTTTTGAGCAATTTAATGCGCCCTTGCTGAATAAAAGTATTAATGACACTATCTCTCAGCAGATTAAATGCTATGAGTAACTTGAACTTATTATTAAATGACAAATTGTTTTCTTTCACTAATACCGTGTAAACAAGTGTGTTTAGCACTGAAAAAGGCGTCAGGTGCACAAATACAAACATCGATCTTTAGCTTCACACTTGTTTTTCGCATTACTAAACCACACCTGCAGCCATAGTAATGATAAATGGTTCTGAGAAAAGCCATTGTGAGGTTCAACAAAGCCTTGAAGGCCGACCGTGTATTTAAAGGAGACCACCTACTTTGTACAAGGGCTTGAACCTGAAACCTTTTCGTTAGTAGCCCAAAAGCTTAATCTAGCAAACGTTTAATTTTGCAAAGTTCCTGCAGCGTTTTAAGCATTACCAGTGATAAGCTTGGAATACAATGAATAGACTTCTGGGACTAATTATAGGCCTACTTACTCTATCATTAGTGCATGCTATTGCTCATACGTATGACTGGAGGACCATAAAATGGGCAACATCCTATTCTTTTCTTCTAAAAATGTCCAAATCTGGTTCATTTTAAAGTCTCACCCATCTTTGATGATGTCATAAAAGACAGCACTGAATGGATTGTCTTCAGGAGTGGCTCTGCAGGACTCAATGAAGAGAGTGACCTCTGGTAGAGCAGTATGAGCTTCAATGCCCATGTAGATCTGGTCCATCAGCTGAACCTGCACTGGATACAGGCTGGGATCTACCTGACTGTTGAAGCTGCTGTCGGTGAAAACTTCAAACGAGTAACCAAACGTGCCAAAGCTGGATTCAGTGAAGATGTAGTCAGATTTATGGTTGACGTAGCGGTTGGAGACACTGGCCATTTTGGGATACTGGCAGGAGAAGCCGAATTTGACTTGATTGCGTCTGGTGATAACAGCATTCGGGTTCTCGAAGGAGTTGATCTCGTTTTTGAAGACGATGAAATCTCCTGAGTCCTGATTGGGGTTGAAAACAAAGACAAAATAGAGAAAAATAAAGAGAATGTAAGGGGCTTCAATGCAACACTCAAATATTTAACATATTAGTTGGCATACATCAATGGTAGTGCCACAGGTGTTGAGGGATATCGTGCCCAAGATGTGGGTGTCATTAGAGGTAAGGGAACAGGTGGGGTCTCGCAGTTGGAGCCAGTTCTGGTCAATGCCATCCATGGTGGCTTTACTGACAACAATGCTGATGCTGTTATCGTCACAGATGACTTTTGCTTCACCTTGAAAGATATGATTCATTCATTTAGTCACTGGTTTATTTTTTTTATGTGACCTGCATTTAAATCATAAAAAACATCAAGGCATTAAATTTTACACAATTATGTGAATGCAAATGCTTCTAGCTACGCAGGATTTGCACAATGACTGACTGACTCACTGCATTCTAGTGGACATTAGCATTTAATTTGACTGTTTATCTAACTACCTGAATAATTAATACATTTAAAGGAAACTCGCTTGAGGTTTGTACAACACAATGTACAAGCTAAATTTGTTTTTAGTGGTAGGAATTTGATTAATCCGCAGTGATTCACCAAACAGATTTGTTCACTGAAACGTTTAGTGGCTATTTCTGTAAGTTAAAAAATGACTGTGAATTTAACGGTAAAAGACTGTAAAAATGCTACAGTAAAAACCTATTAAATGGTTACTGGTAAATTCTCCTAATATATTTGGTGAAAAACAGTATTGGACATTACATGTAATTTTACGGTAGTATAACGTTTTTGGAAGTGAAAAAGACTGTATAATTTACAGTGAATAACCGTAAATTGACATTCCCAGAATTCCCTGCGTTACGTTTCAAATTAGATTTTTTTTGTTGTTGAAATAACTATGTTTATTCTTAGTTGTTTTTGATCAGTTCTGTATATTAGGGTTGTGTGTTACACCTAATGTTGTTAAATTAATGTTTATTGCATTATTTCAGTTTCATGTGTGTTACATGATGGTGTTTAGTGTTTGTGTGAATGACACTGTGCACCTTCTATATATGTTATTTAAAAGCTGCTTGTGATGGGCTTTGGTTCATCATGTGACTTTCTCATCACCACCTGCATTTGGTGGTTATCAGTGTATTACAAAGGTACACAACAGATTTCAGTACTTCAATAGGTTGGTATATTAACATTTTATCAGTTAAAGAAATTACGGTTTTTAACTGTAAATTTAAGTTAAAACCGTAAAACCTAAAATGTTGCTACCGTATTTTTTACGGTAAAATTCCGGCAACCACAGCTGCCGGTTTTTTACCGTAAATTTTACGGAATTATTTTTTACAGTGTATGACAGTAGGTGTCGATAAGTGAAAATATTTGTGTTTCATGAGCGAGTTATTGAATCATTTAGTCAACCGATTCATTAAAAACAGTTTAGAGTTGTTGAGATGTTGACGACCAGTAATTTTGAATTTTATTAGGCTACAAATGCGTGTCAAAAAATACATTAAAGCACTCTAGAAAGAACGTTAAAGCACTCTTTTCTCCACAAATTATAACAAAGCAGCCTAAATAAATTATGACTTTAACGTTATCACAACATGTGAACCTTCGAACATTCAGAAGTCACGTGCTTCAAAAGGAAGAAACTTGAGTGAATGAAACGAATCATCTGTATTCAAATAGTTACATAAAAGACGTTCCTGCTATTGTATTTACCTGAAAGAACCCTTGATTTTGCCACTGCCACAATGATGCACCTCATTTCTGACTGACTGATAAAGAAAAGGCAGACAAAAACTCATAAGAAACTATGCAGAGGACATAAATAATCAGTGATCAATTTAAATACAGACCCCATTTTACCTGTGAAGTGTGTCTGCTGCGAAACACACAGGTACACGACGGTACAGATCCATCTCCTGTGGAGTCCAGGTCAGTGTTGCCACCAACACCCCATTACGCTCACTTGTCAGAGTCTTAGACATATTAGAGGGGCCACTGACCTGGAAGTCAGAGATGCTACACAGACAGGAGCAAAAGAAAGATCAGATAACATTACTGTAACTCAGTCTGCAGACACGTGAAAAACCTGATTCGGCAAACGTTGACATTTGAGCATGTCAAGGTTGGATCTACTGATAAAAAAGGAATTCAGTTCAATTAATCTGCTCATCAAAATCACGCCACTTAGAAATGAAATGAAAAGATTGATTACAAATTTATGACTGCCACCAAAAGCAAAATGCAATCAAATCTGGAGGGTGCAGTAATGAAAAGTTGGCTTAATAAATATATAAGAGAAATATTGTGATTCTTTGTGTGATGAACACAAAACATTATTCAGACCTGCTGTCCGAGATCTGTGCTCGGAGGGTGATCTCATGCGCCTCTCCCACAGCGGCATGATGCACATCTCCATGTAAAGGAGTTGGTGTCAAGAAACTTGGTTTGTTCACGCCTGGTATACAACCCTGAGATGGTGGAAGAACTGCAAGATGGTGTAGATCGTGTTTAAATACACAGAAATGCACAAACACAGTATCAGTGCTACACAATTCACAACAGACCTAAAATAAAGTGTCGCATCCACTCATAAAACTAAAGGCACCATGAAGCACCTTTATCATCCACGAAAGCTTTTCAGTGCACAAAAGGGTTTTTATATTAGAAAAAAGCTCTTTAGATGGTTTGTTCTTCACAAGAAAAAATGGTTCTTTTAAGAAATGTTTATTGAAATCTGTGGCACTACTTTGAATATACTACACTGAATATTTATTGTAAGCAGAGCATATATGTTCACTTCTACTTTCAATTACATGTTCTGATATAATTCACCACGAACCTGTTCATCCACAATTTTTCTTTTGACATGTCTTGCATTGTTTTGCATTGGCTTTTGCTAATGACATGCATTCTCTCCAATGACAGAAACCGGTTGTTCAGGTCGATTAAACACAAATGAATGTCTTTTGTTGTCGAGGAGGTGATCGATGTCTCGAATATTGGTAGAATTATACTGTAGCTCTACAGTATGTCAAGTTTATATTCTTTCCCATGCACTTTTTACTTTGGATAAAAAAACCCGCATTCATCAACAGATTAAACATTTTACACCTTCTATCAAAAAATAAATAAATAAACAAAAATAAATTCTGCACAGAGAGCGTAAGAGGATTTCTTATGCTGTAAAAATGAATTTTCAAAGCTGGAAATAAAAGTATGATTATTACAGTACATTTTACAAGAAAATTCTATTTGAGTTTTTCTACTTAACAATTTCACATTTGAATCAATGTAACTTGCCATTTCTTTGTAATTGTTTGTAAAATATACTAGCCATTTCTAAATGAAATTTGTTTCTACACCACATTTTTACTGTACTTTGACAAATTAATACCTCTGATATTCTTTCAATTCATTTGTGAGACTTTGTATGTTAAAAAATAAAGATATTGCTCTTAATGTTTTTCACTTTTCTACTTAATTTGAATCCATATTTCTGATTTCTTCAAATCTCTTCTGAAAAGCTATATACAAGTTTCCTAACTTATTTTATTGCATGAGGGAGCGTCTTTGTTTGACCAGTAACAGATAATGTGATTCTCACTCACTTTCAACTGCAAACTGCAGAGGCACTTGACTGAGGGCGGTTGGGTTACTGCTGTCACTGACTGCATTATTGACGGAGGAGACCCCGCTATCGTCAGTCACAGTTATATTTGAAATGGCATAATCCTCCAGCATGAGCTCAAACACATGCACACCTACGTCCAGAGCATTTTCTCTGTGCAAAGTGCACAATTCCTACAAAAGAAGAATAAACCATGCACATTTTAATGCACCAAAACATAAATTAAAAGGTCAAAATGTGAAAAGGGTCAAGGAACATAATTTTCCTGAACATTTGATCATTTTTTTAAACTAATTTAAGCATTTGCCCTTCTAATTTGAAGTTGAAAAGTTTGGCATTAGAAAACATTACCTCTTGAAGATGAATGTTTGGATGTTCATGGCAAACTGTGCAGTTGGCGTCATTAAACCTGCATCTCACAACATCGTCATCTGGATCATGTGCCAGCAAATGAATGCTCTGGAAACAGTTCTGAGGAATCCTGTGTATTATTAAGATGATGGAGCAAGATTATTTATTTACGGAAGTGAATGTGTCTGCTAACGAATATGCAAATGTATAAACACATTTTCATGATGTCATTTTAAAAAGCGCACACCTTATGTTTGGAATTGCTGCTGAAACAGGGGATCTGTTTGGAGACTGAGTGTCAGATCGACGACCAGCGTCAACATGAGTGCGAAGCGTCCATCCACCGACACCATGAACATTATCCTCCCAGCAGCAACCAGAGGAACTGATAGAGATATTTAATAAAATGCATGTGCATTTATTTTTATGTGTTTAAATACATGAGAACATATAATTCACTTTATGCATTAACTACAGAACTTATCCTTTAACATATACACATTTTTCAGATCATTAGTATGTGAATTTTGGGATTATATTTATTTATTTGTATCTATTATGTGTATTTTGTGATTACAATGTAAGACTATCAATAACTTAAGGCAGAGCATAATAGTTCTGTTATATAAAAACAGCATCAGAATTACCTCAGAATGAATGGACCATTACTAGTGACATTGGTGGCCATGTGAACCTCTGATTGGCACCACAGATTTTCAGCTGCACTGTCTGTCACCACAGGTCCGGTGTTAGTGAGGATGCCACACGATCCACTCTCACAGATCCAGTCAACCTGAGAACCACAGGGACCCCTACTGGACTCTCTGTAGTAAAAGTGCATCTGCCAAAAACACATAGAGGAGACTGGGGCTAGTTGTCACATGATTTACATAAATTACACCACATGTTATATATGATTTTTTTTTTATAAGGAAAGGTTTATTTTTGTTACGTCTTGGACTTAAATAAATAATAATTTTAAAAAACTTAAATGAAAATTAGAAATGTTGTCTTGGCATCTAATTGAAATAAGTTTAAGTTAAAAAATTAAAAATACTAAAACTAAAACTGGAAATAAATTAAAGCCCTATAGAAATGTATAAAAATGATGAATGCACATTTAACAAAATGACTATTAAAATAAAAAATGTGAAAACTGTAAATATAAAAAATCAACACAAATGTAAAATATTAATAAACACTATAATATTATAAATACATAATATAATAATTAATACAAATAAAATAATTTCAGGAAATTAACTACTCATGATCTAAGTTTAGATTGCTTCATTTTACATACTTTGTATGACAGTAATACACAGAAATAGTAAAAGTAAAACAAATAATACAAATAAACAAATTAAAGCGAGACTCATTAAGTTGTAAAATTTTAAAACTGGATTTACCTCCACTGACCCATCTGGAAATCTGTTTCCAGGCGTGAACGTCATGGAACCCCCATAGAAACCTACGGCTGGTTCCAGAGCGAGAGCCAAGCTCAGCAGCAGCAGCTTCGGGCCGTGTGCCATTGTGTCTGTCGGAATCGTACGGTGAGCAATTCTATATACTGAGAGATGGGTGGATACTTTCTAAGTTATTGTTTGAGTTGTTCCACCAGCTGAAGACAAGCATGTGATGAATGACAGGAATCAGCTTCCTTGAAAAGTGACATACACATGGATTCTTTTTGGACTTTGAAAAAACTGTATTTTTACAAATTAATTAATGCATGTTGAATTATTTTTCTTACTGTTCAACAAGATTAAAATACAGTTTAGATTTTTGCAGTCTGCATTCCAATCAAGAGGAAATGCACATTCCTCAAACATGATAGCCTACCAGATATTTAAGAGGTTTTTCAGATGATATTTCAGATTCAGAAAATCACTACCATCTGATAAAACTAGAAAATTAGGCCATTGTTTAGCTACTCAACGTTATGCCATTCTAAACCGATATAGGCCTACTTTCTTTTTTGCATGTGATACAAAATATGTTAAGCAGAATGACAGTCTTAATCGCCTTGCATTTCATGTGTGAACATTTCCACAAAAATAAGCAGACACAGAAGCAGTCAGACCCTAACATTCCCCAAAATCTCTTTTTGTGATCAAAGGAAGAAAGAAGTCATATAGGTTCGTAAAAACACATTTAGATCAGCCTTTCCTTTAGGGCAGGTTGCGACCCTTGAGCAACATGAGGTTTATAATATTGAAGGGGAATGTTGGCTTCTCTTATAGCTTATAACCGCAAGCGGCAATCATCAGGGTCCAAGCACAGCCCATTGATGTTGAAAAGGCATCAAAATTTACATTAAAAAAACAGGTCAAATATGCAAGTCCAACTGACGTCAAAAACATGTAATGACGTAGATTTGATGTAAATTGAACATCAAACATTTTGGCCCACATATACATTAAACCAATTTCAGTGTGGGATTAACTTCTTATTTTCACCCAATTACCACTGGAAGAAATTGCTGTCCAAGCTGAATTTAAAATGATGTTACAGCATCATCATCAATGACTAATATGTGACGTCAAATTGATATATCAAGACGCCTTGTATAGATGTTACAATGGCCATGTCTCTTTTCAAACGTAATGCGAGTAGACCATAGGCGGAGGGTGAACCAACTCCAGGGTAAGGCTAAAAGCAGCCAAATGTATTAAACATCATAAACCCGTCTTTTTAGGCAAGAACCAGACATGGGTGTCATGTAGGCTAAAAAACGTTAGAAATCGATAAGCATATCCTTTCCACTGTTATTCAAACAGCGAATAAATTCTAAACGGTTTGACGAATTAAAATTATTTTGATAACTTTTTGTCATTAGTGTCTATAGATGCTGCATGCAAAATTTCGTGTGAATCAGTCAAGTGGTTTAAGAGGAGATCGAAAAAGAAGTTTTTGCCAACTCAAAATGGCCGACGGACTACAACACATTGTACTAATGTTGTCCACTAGAGGAAACCAAAGGACAAGAAATCTATTGAGATGTGAAAGACATAATAGCCTACTAATGTTGTCCAAAGAGGGAGGCACAAGACTACAAATTACTTTAGATCGCGTAGTTTCAAATCTGTGTAAATGATTGAGTAGATTAACTTTGCATAACATTCATTATAGTTTCATAAAGTATAATAAAGGCTAAAACCAGTTCAATCAGTTTCCAAAGAAATATGTGATCTCCAAAATACCTTCGTATTTATTTATATATCGTAATTTCAGAAACTATTTGTCAAGTTGTCAGACATGACTGCATTTATTGCGGTCCAGTTAAAATGAAGAAACAATATTATTTGTCTATTGAGATATGGTACATAAAATAATAGATCCATAGAAAGACATAGGTCTACTCCATAGGCGTGTAAAGGCGGTGGCCACAGGGACTTGGGGCAAAAATGCCACTAAATTGGACAAAAATGCCCCTGCACAAACAAATTAAATCTATTATGTCTGTTGGTAACAAAGTGAATATGAATAGACAGCACCATATTTAATTTTAGGCGTTTTTACAGTGTTGCGCATTTTAACCAATCACACACAATTCTTTTGAGCTTAGGAATGCAATGACCAATCAGAAGCGTTCAGATGAGTCATCGTTCAAACTCATCAGTTTTGTTGAGTGCGCGAGCGTTCGCTGACTGAATTCCGGACTCTTGCGAATTCTCGAATCATAAACAACGAAGAGCAGATGTAGGTACAATGTAAGTAAGAGATTAATTTAACAGTGTATACAGCTTCAGTGATTATAACCATAGTTTTTTTTTTTTTAAACTCGCGATAGATCAATGTTAGTGAAAATGTAACTTTCTTAGAGTGTTTCTGCAACTACGGGCACTTTTAAGTCCTAGCAGTGAAATCTGAGATTTATGTTACAATTTGTCACTTTGATGCTTTATAAATATATTCACAGTGTCATTACACACCTTGACAAAAATATAATTAATGATTAATGTAATTTTATATAAAATTATGAAGCATTTATAGGTCCAAACACCATTTTTGCTCATTTTGTCAATGTTGAATTAAAATTTCAAATGGAATTGTTTAATATACACATTAATTTACAGTATCTTAATTTTTTTTGCATTATTTACTGATCATTTTTATGATTATTTGAACTAAATATGCCTGTCCCACAGTTTTGAGTCCTTACCGCAACAACGAAAAAAGGCTTTTATTATCACATTTTATCAAAGACAAACAAGTCTAGTTTCTATGGCAACAGAAATTAGCATGTGAGCACATTGCTGACAAATTGGGCCACCTCACTACCTCACTCACAAGATCCCAAAAATATAAGGAAAATATCATCTTTTCTGTCAGTATTTATTATGTGTCCTTACCATACAGCTTAGTAATTCTGTACTTTGAACTACATTTTAAAAACAAATGTATATTACGGTTTAATTCATGTACATAAGATGCTAAGAGTCAAAACTAATGTACACTGAACAAAATTATAAACGCAACACTTTTGTTTTTGTCATGAGCTGAACTTAAAGATCTAAGACTTTTTCTATGTACACAAAAGGCCTATTTCTCTCAAATATTGTTCACAAATCTGTCTAAATCTGAGTTAGTGAGCACTTCTCCTTTGCCGAGATAATCCATCCACCTCACAGGTGTGGCATATCAAGATGCTGATTAGACAGCATGATTATTGCACAGGTGTGCCTTAGGCTGGCCACAATAAAAGGCCACTCTACCGCAACGTTAGAATAATGTTATACATTGCGGTAAGGACATTTTGTAAGAAGAGTTGAAACACATAAAAAATAAACATGTTCCAGATTAAAATCTTAATGACTCCATGCAATTTTGTTGACCTTTTTATATGTATTACAGACTATGGTGGTTCGTTATACATTTTGTAAGAAGAGTTGAAACACATAAAAAAAAACATGTTCCAGATTAAAATCTTAATGACTCCATGCAATTTTGTTGACCTTTTTATATGTATTACAGACTATGGTGGTTAAAATAAAAATTCACAGGGGTTGGTTTTTCTAAATTTTGGAGAGTCAAAAGTGCCCGTAGTTGCAGAAACACCCCAATACAGTTAGTAGCCATTGCTCCATGCTAAACTATATCTTCTAAACCATTTGATGAATCCAAATTCTTTTGATCACTTTTTGTTATGAGGGTCTCTAGATAATAGGCTACACACAAAATTTGGCGTTAATTGGACAAATGGTGTAGGACGAGTTTGAAAAAGTAGATTTATAAAACAGCTCAAAATGGTGGAATAATTTGATTGTAACCTGTATTGTTGTGGAGATGTGAGGAAAAATGTAAAAGTACTTATTATAGCGCCACCTATGGTCTGATCGGGGTGTGTGTGTGCACCTGAGTAGTGGGGGAGATTTGGGACCATCCTGCCAAATTTGGTGTTTCTACGACTTACAGTTTTTTAATAATAATAATAAGAAGAAAATCAGTACGAAAACACCTTCGGTGCTTGGACCCCTAATAAGGTGATTGTGTTAAGTTGCCTTTGAATTAAAAAGAGCCAACTGCCTTTTAATAGACTTGTTTACTCAGAAACAGTAGCTTTGGACACCTTTTATCACATTTCATATGAAAGAGCGGAGAGGACAATTTAACAAATAGCTAGTAATTTTTGTTTTCAAATTGATTAATAAGAAACAGCTGAAGTGAACAAAAGGGTTTTGTGTAATGCAGAACATCCCCAGCAAATTTGTCTCCTGCTGCGTTTGTCTAAACAGTCAAAGCGTTGTTTTATTCTTTGTGAATAACACTCCTGGAGACAGTTTCAACATCTTCTGTGACTGTATATGATTTTAAAGGTTTAGAATAGACAGATTCTATGCATTTACATGATCAAAAACCTGTTGTAAAGGGTTGTAAAAACATTATCATTACCATCCACTTGATCTTATAATAATAATAATAATAATAATTTATATATAGAGTGTGTGTGTGTGTGTGTGTGTGTGTAATAAGAATCCTCACAATATTATTTCATCTTTGTATGTGATTAAATACAGTGCCTTGCATATATCATATTTTTGTTTTGTTTTATGTTGCAGCCTTATGTTAAACTGCTTCCCCCCACATTAATCTACACTCCATACACCATTATAAAATAGATTTGTGACAACTTTGCAAATTTATTACAAATAAAACACTGAAATGCGTGCATTGCATAAGTACTCAAACCCTTAACTCAGTACTTAGTTGAAGCATCTTTACAGCCTCAAGTCTTTTTGTGTTTGATGCGACAAGATTTGCACATCAGCATTTGGCAATTATCTGCCATTCTTCTCCTCACCTCTTCACCTCTCAAGCTCTGTCAGGTTGGATGGGGGCAGATGCACATTTTCAGGTTTCTCCAGAAATATTGTCCTGTTGGGTCATTGTGCTGTTGGAAGGTGAACCTTCTGCCCAGTCTGAGGTTCTGAATGCTCCGGACTAGGTTTTCATTAAGGCTATCTCTATTTGCTCTGTTGAGCTTTTCAGTCCTTGCTGCTGAAAAACAGCCCCACAGCATGAGGCTGCT